CACAGCGCCCTGCTGTGCCTGAGGGTTATTCAGCAGTAAATGTTCAACTGACATTTTAAAACTGTGCAAAATGTAATTGCCTGTTTTCCGCATTGTGAGGGGAAAGTGGTGACAACATCTAGTCCATGGTAATCACAATGTGTGTTTAACCTCCTAATGTCTGCTATGGACTTGCAGTTTTTAAACCGTAATATATTCTCCAAAAAGGAAAACAAAGTACAAGTCTCTTTCCCTAGTTCATTCCTAACTCTCTGGAGAGGTGCCATAATCGAAGTCATATCAAAAAGGGCACTGTAATGACGAGCAACCACTTTTCAGATGAAATGTGACCACACTGCCAGGGCAATTCTAGAGAAAGTGAGTGCGCTGAGTGACACCAAAGCCACCCCTGAAGCCACCCAGGCAGCCTCCCAGCCCTCCTCATGATAAAGGCTGGCATGGCCACTGAGCCATCAAGTTGTGTTTTTATTTTATTTTTTGTTTGTTTCTTTAGTTCATCTGTAAGTTTATCTTGCACCTTCATATATATTTGTCCAGTAAAAGCCTGTAAATGCTGGTTAATTCTCAGGTCAATCAATAAAAGCCCGTATACCTCAATGTGCCTAAAATTGCCAATAGCTTTTCAATCGCCTTTCATTTTTTTAGGAAAAGGCTATCAGAGCTCCAAATGAAGATTCCCTATTTTCTCTTTCCCCTAGAACAACACACATCCCCCATTTCTGGGTATTTGTCTGGGTAACAATCTAAAAGAGAATCCAACCCTTCCCAAACTCCACTGTCTGCAGGGACACGGGGGAAGTGGGCCTGGTGTGAACAACGGGTGTGAGTGTTGTGTATTTGCACCAAGAACTATGAGGGCCGTGTGTCGACACCTGCAAACTCTTCTACCTTTTCGAAATCACCAGAGGCCTAGGAAAATGCCCAGAGCCAGAAAAGACTGCGATCCCTTTTCTGAGTCACTGAGCTCCAGATACTCTGAACTGGGGAAATGTGGGGGAGAAAGGCTCATCTCCGCACACAAGCCTCGGGGCCCGAGATCCAGATTCTTCCACCACTCTCATCTGCGTTCAGGCTGCCTTTAACCCCGAAGTGTGATGGACTGTAAACCTCCCGCATCTGAGAGGCGGCACGAGAGCGCGGCTCTGGAGCGCGTCAGATGAGGCTCGGAGTCTGACTCCACCCAAGATCAGTAGCAGTCCTAGCTTAGAGGACACGCTGCAGAGTGAGAATGAAACACACGAAGCTGCTAGTTCAGAACATGCCCCCACGACAGCATCACTTGCTGTGAATTCCCTTCCCCTTGCCACCCCGAGAATAATTTCGTTATGACTTAACTGGTACTCAAAGCACATCTGTGAAGACGGAGCTCAGAGCCCCAGACGCATGTGCCTGGCTGTGAGTGTGGACAGCACCTAGGCCAGTCACTGCTTTAGATGCACCGTACTCCCAACTCCCATCCTCACCCACAACCCCACGCCCTGGAAGCCCAGGGACAATTTCTACTCTTCCAAGACCAGAGAATCCCTACTGAAGTAGGACCAAAGGTAGAAGAAAGTACAACTCAGTATGTGACATATACCGAAAGAAAAACAACTGCTACCTTTTAAAACATTTATGTATCTCAGTTCCCACCTATTAGAAGGAATAGAGCCAGGCGTGGTGGTACATGCCTGTAAACCCAGCACTCCGGAGGCTGAGGCAGGAGGATCACTTTCAAGTTTGAGACCAGCCTGGGCAACATAGTGAGTTCAAGGCCACCGTGAACTGCATAAAGAAACCTTGCCTCAAAAAAAAAAAATAATAAAGGAATAAGCCACACGGCTTTCAGTCCTAGAACATTACAGTCATAGCCCTATTAATTACAGTTTAAAATATTAAAATCTTTACCATTGTAAAGTTGATAACAAGAACCAAGTAAGTGGTCTAATTCCTTAATTAGAAATATATTCAAATGCAAAATAGTGCCTAAGTGTTAGGTCTTACCTAACTCATAGTGCACTCCTAACTTGTCATTTACACTGCCTGTCAGAAGAAATTAATTAGACTGAATTATTGTGGAGCATTACAATGCACTTACCAAAAAAACAGCATATATTAATGCCAATTGTTGCTAAAAATAATCATCCAAAAAAAAAAAGATGGATTAATTCTTGCACCAAATGTTTTTAAATCTAGGATAGGGCGTATACGGGAAGAAACACAGTGATGGTAGAAAGACTTTCCAAAGATGCATACAAATATATGTTATTGTCTCCACCAGCTCAGAAGAAAATTGTTTTCTCAACTGCACACACGTTTTCAAATTAAGAAAGGCAAATTTACTGAAAACGTTCCTTTTACTCATATACAAGACTGTCTGTTTTCTGGCAGAAAAGAGGAACACATTATTCTGATTTATCTAACATTTGAGTTAATAGAGAATTAGCATTAAAATTAGAAACAATGCCTAAATTGAACTGAAACTTTATATTTGATGATTCACAACCTTTCAGGCTTCTAGGTACGACAGTAAACATCAATTATTATTGCACGATAGCTATTTGGAGCTGTAGTTAATAGTCCTTCCTATGAAATGCACTACAGCCTTCCCTGCGCGTAGGCTTCAGCACCAAGCAGAAAGAACTCTCGGCATAACTGAGAAGAACGCATTCCCTGCACATACAGAACATGTGCTGTATATTTCTCACATGCTCTGTACCTTTCTTAGACGTTTTCTTTTTTGCCATGCAAACAAACCACGGAATGATCGGTTCAGGATGTCAACAGAAAGATTTCTGATCCCAGAGAGAGCAGAACACAGCCCACCTGGAAAGGACAGCCAGCCTCTGAGAACAGACCCAACAGCTGCCCGCCACCGGAGGCCCACCGGCTCGTCCCTGAAGATGGATTTGCTCAGCATGATGACCTCAGACAACCCTCTTGGCACCAAAAATATCTGGACCACATTTGAAGTTATGAGGCCTGTAACACTCTAGTCAGCCCTTAGCCTATAACTCTCTGACAGTGCGTCAGGAGCAGGCATGGATACATATGCTCCTGCTCGAGGGGACTATTTTGGAAGGACACACAAGAAAGTGTTAAGAGCTAAGAGGATGGGCTGCGTGGGTGGGAATGAACAGAGGCGTGCCACATTTAACTTTTAAAAATCATATGAAAGTATTCTTTCAACTAAACCTAATTTAAAGTAATTCACTTCATCTTACAGTGTCTTTCATTTTAAAGGCTGTTTACTAAGTAAACAGCTTATTTCATTTACTATTAAATAGGGAAAAGAAAGCCGGTCATGGTGGCACATGCCTGCAATCCCAGCGCTCGGGAGGCTGAGGCAGGTAGATCACTGCAAGTTCGAAGCCAGCCTGGGCTACAAAGTGAGCTCAAGGCCAGCTTCAACTGCATAGCGAGACCCTGTCTCAAAAAGACAAAAAAATAAAATAAAATGGAAAAGGTCGAATTAGTACTCTGCTGTCTCCTTTTCTGACATAAAAAGAAACTTCAAAACAAATGCGGCATCACCACCCAGGGAATATAAATCAACACTGTCCAATCTGAAAGCATTGATCATCGTCGTGCACTTTAAAGTATCTTGCAGTTTCTGTTTTCACAATGGGTAGTATCAATATCTTAGAATCCAAAAATAGACCTGATTCCTAATTGTGACTTTTTTTAACTTTCAAAACAGTACATTTTCTGACTTGTAGGTTAAAAAAAAGTCACTTCCCTTTTATCCAAATTCACATCCAGAATACTATACTCCTTTTCACAGAATCACAAAGCCACAACAGAACAAACTACTCCAAGTTAACTGCAGTTGCCACCCACTCCTTTGTTAATATAGAAATCTCCGTGTAGGTTTCTAAGTTTCCCTGGGTCCGTGCTGGGCAAGTGCCCGGCCGGCTGGGAGCCGGCGGTGCCGGGACGCACGCGGGCCGTCGCTGGGAGCGCGGGGCAGGGACAGGCCTGCGCACCGGCGGCCTCGCAGCTTCGCCTGCCAGGCACTGAGGCGGCAGCCGGGTGAGTCCCTTAACCTGGGCAGCCCATCCTTCACTGTCACCTGGGGGGGGGGGTCCCTACAAAATCGACCTCACCTGCATTTATGCTAAGAAGCCAAAAGCCACAGCGGGGCTCCTCAGCCCAAACTCTCCCGAAGTCGTGACCCCAGAAGACGAACTCTCGGGCAGGGGAAAGCCAGCCCCAAGCGGAAGGCAGGCGGCGGCGGGAAGGTTCACGCGTTCCCCGCCTGCTGGACAGAGGCCACCGCGCGGGGCGGCGGGCCGGGGCGCTCTGCCGGGACGC